TTCTTCATCTGTGACTAACATCCCTAAGCGAGACGACGAACACCTCCGATGCTTTCACAAAGGATTACGCTCTCCTTGGGTTACTTTGTCAGTTATTATGACTCATGTCTCTTCCACTCTAAACCAAAGCATATTTCAATCATTGTCATTACTGAACGATCAATTTTTGAAGATATACAACAGTAGAGTTTGTAACGTGTTCTATGTACAGAACTTACATATCAATGAACATGTTTAGAAGCCAATAATTTATCACGGTCGTTTCTCAAACAAGTCGACTCTAAACTTCGTTTTCTTTCCAAACAAAATACCTCTCTGTAAAAAAGGAACCGTCACGCTATTTTCCTACAAGTTGATAACAGGAACATGCAATTATCTACTGTTGGTCAATCAAGCAGGGACAGGAGCGTCTCGTTATAACCGTTCTGTCGACCAAATGGCTTTAGAAAATAGCGCAAATAAAATACGCGCGCTGATTAGTTGCCTGTTTCCATGTATAACTCGATAGAAACACAAAACTAGCACGAGCTATTGTCGTAATGATGGCGCGAGCTAAGACAATTTATTACATTTTGATGACTTAAGTTAACAAGTAATTTTCTTTTTTTTTAGAAAACATGTTCTCCGCGTGTTTCTATCGAGTTTTAATATAGATCTACTAGCATTCTATCACAAATGCCGTTCTCTGATTGGCTACGCTACCCACTATATATCTATTCTGTGATAGATAGTGAGTAGCGTAGCAGTGTTTGCCTTGGAGCGAACACACTTACTTTTGGTATAACAATGATTACCAAACAGTCATCAATGATATTGGTGCTACACTCAGACAATAAATCAAGCGTTCTATCACATATGCCGTTCTCTGATTGGCTACGCTACCCACTGTTAATTAAACAATTGGATTATGAGCGCGAGATTTCTATTACGAGATTCCTATCACGATTTCTATCAACTGCCGCGATTTCTAACAACCATCACGCATAGGAATCGAGATTTCTATCACGCATAAAAATCTATTCTATCTATCACGAATAGAAATTTATTTAAGGGGGCCGAACACAGTTTTCGCGCGCGCTCTTGCTAATGCGATTCAGCGCACGCACAAGGATTGCAAAAAACA